GTAACTCCAGTTCCAGAGAATCTGATTCCCTTTCCTGGCCTTCATGGGCACTACACAGGCACTACACACATGGTATACATACACACATTCAGGCAAAAACAGACACCCAGGACCCAGGGAGGCAGAAGTGAGCAACAGATCCCCTGGAACTAGAGTTACAGATGGTTGTGAGCCACCATGTGGGTGCTGGTTACCTGATTCCAGGACCTCAGCAAGAGCAACCTGCGCTCTTAATGGCAGAGCACTCTCTCTAGCTCCAATGTACACACAACACACATAGTAGTATTTATGTGCTAATCTTAGAAAGCAAAGGATTGCTGGGCCGGGCGGTGGTGGCGCACACCTTTAATCCCAGCACTCGGGAGGCAGAGGCAGGCAGATCTCTGTGAGTTTAAAGTCAGCCTGGTCTACAGAGAGAGTACCAGAATAGGCTTCCAAAGCTACACAGAGAAACCCTGTAATGATTGCAGGCTATTTCCTGCTGATGAAGACACATTTTTTTTCAGTCAACTGAACTAATTTTCTATAGAACAAAGTGATGCATTTTTGTAATATGCATATAAAGGATTCTAGATTGACCCTGGTTGATTTAGACTCAATTTTTAGACAAACTTGATCAAACTTCGTTTTCAGCACTTACCGTATTTCAGAATAGTGGACAAATCGCTATGGACCTTAAGAGAACATGTCGGCACTGAAGTAGTAAGAGCTAAGATATAATGACCATTTGGCTCTGTTTGGGTTTTGTGCTGCAATCTTAGCCCACGCAATCTGAGTGATGATTATTGACTCCGCCAGGATGCCGGGGACCGCCACAAACACTGGGAAGGAAGTAGAGTTAAACCAGGAGGAGAAAACTACAGGAAGTCCTTGGGGAGGAAAGCCAGCAAAGACGGAGCGGATGAGAGGCCAGGAGTATTTGAAGAAGGGTCTTGCTGAAAGGGATGGATTCCCACGTGGAGATGCAGATGTGAACATCCTTGATGGAGCAGGCCCAGGAATCAGGACGGGATGAGGCAGGGTCGCCAGAGAGGGGGAATAGGAGCTGGTGGAACACGAGGCCTGGGAAACCTGGTCTCAGAGGAAGGAGACCAGGAAGAAAGCAGAGGTCTCAGCTGGGGTGTAGACATGATAGGAAGGGGGTAAAGGTTAGCAGAGGGGAAATACACAGGAAGTGAACCCTCGAAGCAGGGATTCCTCAAATACATAACAGGCCATGGTGAGCTGCGTGTGGCCAGGCCACTGTGCTGCGGCCAGCGGAATGTGCCCTTCTCTCTTGGTGACTTCGGTCAGTCTCCCTTCCTCGCTTCTCCTCGACCCGGGTGTTCTGCATTCAAGGAAGAATTCTCTTAGCTTCCGCATTGGGGAATGTGTGTGCGGATGGCAGGTGCTCACACCCCAAACATGAGGAGCCGCGAAAGACGGGGAAATTCAAATTACCCTCCTCACCAAGTCCTACTCATGTGCACCATCAGTACCTGACGGCAAAAGGCTTCTGGAAGATTTGGCAGTCCGTGCGAAGCATTTGTTGATTCTGATTTGAACATTGCATTATGGGCACATACGGATGTATCACAAGAGTCCTCCCCACACACACACCTTAAATGGATACAAGTTTTACAAGCCAATCAAAAAGGTGAAGTAAAAATGAAAGCAAAACACCACAAAATCAGAACATTCCTACTTAAGAGTGGGAGAGAGGGGGGCAGGCCTCATCAGGAGCCATGCCGGGGATCAGTGGGCAGGAGGCCGGAGAAGAAAGGAGGGCTAGCATTCTATCAGTTATCATCGACATATTTTCATGACCCTTTACTTCTTTGCAACATGGCTAATTTCGCAACTGCAGTTTCTCTCTCGTGTTAGCTTTCAAGCACCTATTTATCTTGAGAAAGCAAAATCAATTGTTTTCGGAGGACATTTCAAACAAAGACCCTCCGAGTTCCCCTCCCCTGGAAATATGGCCATGAGAAATTAGTGCACTGTATAAATTAAACACACAGAAAACAATTTATTTTGCTTTCGCATAATTATCCCGGTACCTCCACTAGTATTTCTTGTGTAAAACAAACACATTGATTCTGCTTAATTAGCAAGTTACACATTTACTGGATAAGTAAAACATGAAATTTGGCAATGCTGGCTCACTCTAAAAGCTCCATGACTCTGTTTTTACATAGCTACTATACCCCCAAATAGTAATAGTTATTAGTTGAATTTTACTTGAGAAAGCATTTTTCACGATTTGGAAAGCATACAGCCTCCCCCCCCCACACACACACACTTTAGCTCTCTCCAAGTTTTGTGTCTTGGATTCAGGTGGAAGGTGTTTTGGAAGTCTTTGCTAACAGCTTTCCAACCCTCTTCTTCACAGCGAGGAAGCACCTGCAGTGGGCCATGCAAGCTAGGAGGTTACACACCTGAGAGTACTCTGTCTTTGGGGTCCCAGCTTACCCACCCCTAGCAGGCTCTGTTTTTGCCTCAAGCAGGTAAATTTATTTTTCCATTAATAGCGAGAAAGACTTTCAAGAGGCTTGGCTTGAAGTACAATTGATTTTCACAGCTAGGCACAGCATGGGTGCAATTGTGTGAAATTAAAATGTTCTTGGGAAAGCTTGTCTGTAGTCTCAGTGCCGAAGTTAAAAAACCCATGGTTTGGAAAGCACCCCTCAAGGCCTAGCTGCAGTTTGGCCACTAGGGGGCACTCAAACACTACTCACCGCGAAAAGCCGCTAGGGCTGTGATCACATTTATTGAAGAGTAGGGAATGATTTGAGGACATTAACGGTTGGTGGTTAGCAAGTAGGCTTCTCCGAACTTGATACTTTAATTTTCTACAGGGGATCACTGTTTGGGTTTGTAACACTGTCTCTATTCATTAAAATCCCTTTTAAAGTGGTTTGTACCAGGGTAGCAATAATCCAGAGTGAATTAATTAACAATAAAGTATACATCATGATAGAGGCCTGGAGGTTGCTGGCTAAGACAACTTAAGTGGTTGGTTAAGACAGTGAATATAATTTACTTTTTGAGCACTCGGGTGACTGTGGCCCAAAGAGAAAACAATCGTGTAGCTTAAACTGCCCTAAAAACTGATCACAAATGTAACTTCGGAAGCAATTTTTAGTCCGAGAAAGAGAAATAATGGCCTTTGTTTGGTCATGACAAAGAGCCTTACTATTTCAAATGTCAAGAATTGTATGAGAAAATACAAAAGCTTTAGCAATTATAGAACAAATGATTACAATTTCACAAGATGCCAGTATCGCCTAACACATCTAAAAGCTCCTGGTTGTAAATACAAAGGTTTACATTGAGTAATAGTAATGCAAACTTAGAAAATAAAATTTATTAGCAAATTATAATTAATCAATAAACATTTATTAGGTTTGAGGTATAAGCCTAAAATTAGGCTCTCAGAAAAAAAAATCCAAAATAATCTGTTTTAAATTTCTCCCCCACCCCCCAGAGCTGATTGCTATAGTAAACCATTAGCTGTATCATTAGGGTGACTTGGGAGTCAGAGAGGTTAGTGTCAGCACACCCAGGCGCAGTAAAATGAACAAGCTGATGACCGTCTGAACACCGAGAGCTCTTTAAAGAGAACAAGGACCTCTTTTACCCCTCCATTCTTAATCATCCTCCAAAATCGAGTGTTAGTGATGGAGGCAGAACACAGACTTCCAAATTAAGGTCTTAAACCAAATCAGACCTCAACCTCAAATAGTGAATAAGATGACTAATCAATTAACCATAGTTGGCCTAAAAGCAGCCACCAATAAAGAAAGCGTTCAAGCTCAACACTTAAGAAATACCTAATAACTGTGGTTTCCTGAAAGATGAATTTACCGTTCTCTTTCGAGAACAGATTTCCATGTTAGAGAGGTTAAAACACAAGAACCCAAACCTGCGCTGTGTGCCCTGAGGTAAGGCCTTTTACACATAATTCAAAACAAAGTTTTACTGTCATTGCAAATTCAAAATAAGATTGAAATACTTTAAAATCTTTTGGTAGTTGTTCTTAAATACTGAATTTTACATTATGTCTCTTTGTGCTCTTAAGCCGTACGTTTTAAAGATGAAAACTAGTCACTCAGAATTTGTTTGATTAAACTGAATAGTAAAAAAACAACAACAACAACAACAAAAAGATTTTCTTCAGGAGCAAACGATAATTTCCAATTCTAATATTTATTTTCAAAAGTTTTAAAGAAAAAACTGTGAATTAACTGAATACATTTTGAACCTAAGTAACAACGGGTTCTCATGCCGTGGGAGTGGATGTTACATGTATAAACTTGTGGCAAAAATCAGATTTTCACTTTAACTTCAGATAGTTTAGCTGCCTAAGTTCTAAAAGCATGAAAGGCACTGATTGGGAGAGGAACACTTACATCAGTTTTCCAAATCTCAGAGGAGATAAGAAAGTTATATGCAAATACGCATTTTATATTTTAATAAGTGTTTTACATAGGTAAACTCATAGCGATCCTGGTGTTTTGGATTTGCTTCTGGTTTGTAGTCCCTGGTTTAGATGAACACAAACAAACAGATACATACTCAAAAACAAAACAAAACAAAACAAAAAAACCAAACCCAAAACATCCACTAACAATTGATCACACAAATTTTATAGGCGTATCTTGACAGGCTGAATTTACACAGAACCACTTTTCAGTTCGTGAATGTACCCTGCTCTCAGAAGGAAATACTAAAACACATTTTTCTCTGCTATAATTGGTATGTATATCAACCTTGGTTTTTAAAACACCTCATCTTTAGTCCCGACAACACGAAAAGTCAAGTTTCTGGGAGAGGCATGTTGCATCTGGAAATTTCGAGGCTCTATGGTGCTTAATGACCATCTCTATGGGATGCACTCTGGGGTGTCTAGTTTTCAAACCCTCCTGCATTGACTCTGTTATAAACACCACAGAACCACAGACCGGTTTTCTAATATTTGTGGAACCTAGTCATTTAAAGCGAGAAAGCAGCAGCCTTACCTTTGACCTCTGTCAGGACGATGACATGAAGTAGGAGCCACATTGCAATCAATCTGAGCTAGAGAGGTGCCCAGTGTCGGAGGACAGAGCTGTAGGCTTGCAGCAATAGCGTTCTTAGACGTGCTCTCCTCGCTCCCCTCCTTGGAAGGAGTTCTGATAGAGTCTGGTGCCTCCCCTGTGTCTGAGCATGCTCAGCTGAAACCTCCCTGGCATGAAGGGACACCGACGCTTGTCACTAGCGAGCCTGCTTTTCTCTTTTCCTCCTCTCCTTATATTTTGTTTGCTTCACTTTATTTTAAACGTAGACTCGTGTTCCTGGCCGTTGCATTCATTCTGCTGTGAGAAGGGCGATGTGAATAGCACTTTAGCCTTGTTAGAATACTAATATTTCCGTAGCTCAATGCTTTTCTCCAAAGCCCTTGGAGCAACTTGCACCCTTCTTAATGTGAACATATGTACGGATCCCAGAGTGTGAAGGAATGTAGATCTACCCAGAAGGCGCTGGCAACTCTGTAGAAGCAGTTCTCAAGCAAGATGCAAATGAGAAAAAGAGCTCCTCGCTAGCACATACTTGAAGGACCCTAGGGACCACACTGAGAGGTTTTCAAGTGACATTCAGACAGTCCATAAGGGTTCCAAGTGTGGCCTTGTGTTCAACAGGTGGATATTCAACCAAAACTGTAAACTTTGCTTAGTTGCCTCATAACCACAGTTGAGTTTTAAAGCACAGAGCTCCCGGCTCTCATTCAATTGTGGCTGGCACACCTACTCAAAGCCACCAGAGGCCTCTTCCTCACACACACCAAAGGCAGCGTTTTAAACAGCAGGCTTCCTGTAAGCTACCATAGGGACTTCGGTTGATCCGAGTGTAATCCAAAAGAATGTTCCAAAAAGACAAGCAGCATTTCCTTGGCAGAGTATGGACTCTTGATTATTATTATTATTATTATTTTACTAACTTGGAACTGTCTGTGGAGAAGGGCTGAGTGTGGATTGGAGCAGAAGGTTTGGGAAGGGATGGGAACCCTGCTTGTAGAGACTGGCTGTGGGCAGGTGGAGCTGGCCTCTCTCTGTGTCCTTCCAGCATTTGACAGAATAAGAACCTAAATGGAATTTGAGACACAAAATATTTTATTTATCACATAATAAAGATAGTTCTTGTGCCTCTTAAGCAGTGAGCTGAATTCCTTCCAATACTCTCAATTCGTTGCTGTCCAAGCTCCTCTGACTTCCAAGCCAAAGCAAAAGAGTCAAACTTGAATAGAAATGTGAAATTTTTCTTATGCTTAAAGAAACCTTTTTGATATTGTTCACTGAACTTGAGGTCTTTTAAGATACAGCAAAACAAAATAAAAGAGAAAACAACAACATAAAATCCCTGTCACTTAAAAAAACAAAACTTCCTACTATGCTGATCAGAAATCCTCGTATTTGTTGCAGCCAGGATGAGGGAGGCTGAGATTCTGGTGTTAAAATTTAAAGAATACATTTTCAAAATGCAATGAAGTACCATTAATTGGCCATCACAAGGCTATATGAAGTTTGAAAATATTCTACACACACACACACACACACACACACACACACACACACGTATCTTTGAGGAAAGAAAAAGGTGTCTAGACTTCAAAGAATTTAGTTTAGACCTCTGCATTAATGCTAAAACCCAAGCTTAATATTAACTGAATTTGCAAAAGCCAATTCATCTGTATCAGGCTGCTCCAAGTTAATCTTTGAAATGTTAACACAGAAAGATTCAGAATGCAGCGATTATAAATAATAATTAAGAGCACCTTCAGCTCATTACTGACGATTGAAGGCAGTCAATGAATTTTATCTTTGATGTGCTCTGGGTGCATGACCCGAAAGTGAAGAGGCTGAAATGCTCAGGGACATGATATATGTATGTAGGCAGGGGGGGGGAGGGGATCTGGTTTCTCCATAAAGGCCCACTCCACAAGGAGGTCCTAGGGGGTTGCTTCATGCAGAGGTAGGATGGAACTTGTCAAATTGCTTCAGAGAAGTACACATGTGCCTTAGGGACCTTTACTCGAATCAACTCACTTGCCCCCCACCCCACTACTCACCTGCCCCCCCCCCGCCCCACTTACTATCTCCTGTCAGTAGCATCTTTTTGATAAGAATACTGCAGGAGTTCATGTAAATACTGGACTTAGTATCCAGCGCAATTCAACGAGGTTCTTACTAACTGCGGGGAGTTTGTGTGATGAAAATTTAGGAACCTGATTCTATCTGGATAAGGGGTGCAGGCTGCCTGTCTCTATTGTGGCGACCTTTATATACATTCTAGAGATCACTGTAAATACAAAATCCCGACCTTTTTCCTGGAGAACATTTTTACTAATCAGACAAGTGAGTTGCAATGTGACGTTCGCACACATGCAAATGTCTTTTGATCACCTTCACCCCCTTCATTATTCTTTCCCTGCTTTTCACTTTTTGTTAGTTCTTTGAGAATTTTGTGCAACGTATTTTGATCACATTCATCCCCTTACACAAACTCCTCCAAGACGCACCTCCCTTCTCCACTTAGAGCCCAATATTGTACCCTTTTACAGAATTGCTCTGTGTAGTCCCAGCTGTCCTGGAAGTTGCTGTATAGACCAGGCTGGCCTTGGACTCAGAATACTTGTGCCTCCCAAGTGCTGGGATTAAAGCCAACCACTGCTTGGCTCTGTTTTTGTTTTTAAACCCATTAAGTCCAATTTGTGCTGCTGTGTACCCTTGGACATACGGCAGCTGTCTTAGTTAGGGTTTCTATTGTGGCAATAAAACACCATGTCTAAAACCAAGTTGGGGTGGAAAGGGTTTATTAGGCTTATACATCCATATTGTTGTGTGTGGTGGATTGAATAAATGGCCCCCATAGGCCCATAAGGAGTGGCACTATTAGGAGGTGTGGCCTTTTTTGTGTAGGCATGGCCTTGTTGGAGGAAGTGTGTTACTAGGGTTGGGTTTTGAGGTTTCAGACGCTCAAGTGAGGCCCCAGTGTCCCTTTCTCTCCCTGCCATATGCCAGTCTGGATATACAGCTCTCAACTATCTCTCCAGCACCATGTCTGCCTGCATGCCACCATGACAATCATGGACTAACCCTCTGAACTGAAAGCCAGCCCCAATTGTATGCTCCTTTAGAAGAGTTGCTATGGTCATGGTGTCTCTTCACAGCAATAGAAACACAAGCTAAGACACTGTTCATCGCCAAAGGAAGTCTGGACAGGGAACCCAAACAAGGCAGGAACCTGGAGGCAGGCGTAGATGCAACAGCCATGGAGGGCTGCTGCTTACTGGCCTGCTCAGCCTGCTTCCTTATGGAACCCAGGACTACCAGCCCCGGGATGGCACCACCCACCATGGGCTGGGCCCTTCCCCACCAGCCAGTGATTGAGAAAATGCCTTATAGTTGGATTTTATGGAGGTACTATCTCAGTTGAGGCCCTCCTTTCAGATAACTCTAGCTTGTATGTCGAGTTGACATAAGACTAGCCAACATAGTAGCCATCCACTGTAGGATACTTGTCCTAGCCGGGGCCACACCCTTAAAAAACTGGCTTCTTTCTCCAGTATCTCTTGGTTGCCAATATTATTGGACTTGATGTCTAACTCCCCTCTCCATGAGGCATTTTGTCAGACTTCTTTATGGCCTTTTAACACCCCATTATGTTTGTGTGCCGCATTTTATTTATCCATTCACCTGTTGGTGGGTGTTTAGACTGAGTCCCCAATTTAACGGTTGGGAAGACATAGACACGCAGGTATCGATGTAGCAATCTGACCTCAGAAATGGGAGGGAGGGGCTGGTGGGTTGCTTGGTGTAGCCAGTCTGCTGGGCCACATGGTAGCAGCTCAGATTCAAAGGGCATGGCAGAAGGAAGATGGCTGCCTTTTGCTCGATTGGCCCTCCCTTCTCTCTCCATGCTCTGTTGATTTACGCCATTGCTGCTGATTCTTCCATATTCCCAGGCTTCCATTACTGACTGGGGGAGGGACCAGTGGCTCTCCAGGAACCTCCCAAGTTCTCTCTGTCTCTTGTCCCTCTGTCTGTCTCTCTGTCTCTCTCTCTGTCTGTCTCTGTCTCTCTGTCTCTGTGTGTCTGTCTGTCTGTCTCTGTCTCTGTCTCTCTGTCTCTGTATGTCTGTCTCTGTCTGTCTGTCTGTCTGTCTGTCTGTCTGTCTCTCTCTCTCTCATAGCCTGCCTCTGCCTCTGGAGTGCTAGAATTAAAGGTGTGCATCACCATACCTAGCCTAGCGTTTGCTTTCTTGATGACATGGGTAGTTCAGGATCTCAGTGTGGTTTTGATTTGTATCTTCCTGGTGCTAAAAGGTACTGAGCCCTTTCTCAGATGTTTATGGCCATCAAATACACTATTTGCTGCTTTAGTTTCAAATTAACTAAATCTTAGTTTAATTTTGGGATAAATGCAAGCAGACAGACTGCTTTTCTCTTTTGTCTGCTAGCAAGGAGCTCCACATAGTACCAGTGTGTCCACCACAGAGAGAATGAGCTGCAGTGTTCTGTCATGTTAGAAGATAACTTTTCAGCCTGGAGAGTTGGCTCAGCAGCTAAGAGCACTGGCTGCTCTTACAGAGGACCTGGGTTTGGTTCCCAGCATCCACATGGCAGCTCATTCCAGTACCAGGGGATCTGATATTGTCTCTAACCTGTGCACACACCAGGAACACACATAAATGCAGGAAAAATACATACATAAAATAAATAAGTGAGTCAAATTCAAATAAAAATAACATAAAAGGGGAAGATATCTTTTCACATGGTAAGTGGAAGGTAAATTCTCACCCTGCATCTAAATTAAAAAATGTAAAACCAAGAATACAACTTTCCTAACTATGCTCAGAAAACCTTGATTTTAATATCATTTCAGAATTATTTGATGGCTTTGTTGCTGGTTGGCTATAATATTTACTATCTTGCCAAACTGTGTTTTCAATCAAGGCATTTACCAAATTCCCTGTTGTAGTTACTGTTCTATGACTGTGAAGAGACAACGTGACCAAAGCAATTTTTATTAAAGAAAGCATTTAACTGGGGTTTGTTTGTTAAGACAGACAGTGATAGCGCACGCCTTTAATCCCAGCACTGGGGAGGCAGAGGCAGTGGATCTCTGTGAGTTCAAAGCCAGCCTGGTCTACCTAAAGAGTGCCAGATAACCAGTGCTATGAAGAGAAAGCCTGTCTTGAAAACACACACAGACACACAGAAACACACACACACACACACACACACACACACACACACAAAGGAAAAAGATGTTTAGTTCATTGTCGTCATGGTGGGGAGCATGGCAGTTGAGTGGTGTGAGCAGTACGTGCGGGAGAGAGACAGAGAGACAAAGAGACAGACAGAGAGACAGAGAGGGAGGGAAACTGGGTCTGCCATGGGTACTCGAAACCTGAAAGCCCACTCCCAGTTACACACTTACTCCAACAAGGCCACACCTACTCTTTCTAAACCCTTCAAACAGCTCCACTCCCTGGTGATCAAGCATTCAAATATAGGAGCCTGTGAGGGACATTCTTATTCAAACCACCACACTCCTCTATACCTAAGGATGGTGCAGACATGGAAACACCTTTCATCTCTACAGACTCTGTTGCGGGATATTTGTACACTGTGTGAAAATGTATCATTGTGATTGG